TTTATTTTGTAATATATTATTGCACTACTATAGTACTATTGTAATTGTATTGCGCTCGATTTCGACAATACGTAAGGCACCGTCAGTTGTCGACAATGCTCGAAATGTGCTGGGTTTTCTCGACATAAAATCTAAACAGCGCGATCGCGCTGCTTGGGATTCTTCGACAGTTTTTTATCAAAACTGTCTGGTATTTCTCGACATGAAATCTAAACAGCGCGATCGCGCTGCTTGGGATTTTTCGACAGTGTTTTTTCAAAACCGTCTGGTACTCAAACGGTTAAATTGCATTGACAGATGTGCCACCTTCCTGGAAAATTACATATCTACCTTAGAATTTGAAAGTTGTCTCTCCAAACGAACGGGAGGACACCTGGCCTACACCGCATCTCATACAAAATGATCAGCGGTCTGTCTAATTCAAGTAAAAAGAAATTACTGGACCTATATAATACGGTATTTTTGACTAGCCATATACTCTACATGTGGAAACTGGCAACAGTTGTTCCAATTCCAAAGTCAAAAAATGTCTCCATCGCATCTGATTATCGCCCAATTTCTCTTTTATCTTGCCTCTCTAAGGTTTTAGAGAAGATTATGGCATCTAGATTATCTTGGTTTCTTGAATCCAAGAACCTGATAACAAAGCAACAAGTTGGTTTCAAGCGGGGTAGAGGATGCATCGACGCTCTTTTCCATATTGATTATTTTACAAGCAAAGCAATTTCCGAACGGCATCATGTAACAATTCTCTCAATTGATTTCGAAAAAGCATTTGACAGATTTGTTCTACATATTGTTTTAAGACTCTTGAAATCATGGAATGTTGGACCCAAACTCTTCAACTACATCAAATCATTCATGTCGCATCGGTGGTTTAAAGTGAGAATCTACAATCATTTCTCTGATTCCTTTCCGCTAAAGAATGGCATTCCCCAAGGATTTCCTCTTTCTGTCACTTTTTTCCAGATCGCTTTCAACGAAATTAGCAAAATTCTTTGCCATGTACGGAGAATCGAACATTGCCTCTACGCGGACGATGTATACATTTTTACGAAAGAAAAAGATAGCAGGAAAGCAATCAACGTCCTCGAACCTATTGAACAAGAGATCTGCAAATGGGCAAACACGTCGGGGGTTAAAATTTCTGTACAAAAATCAAAAAAATGCACATTTGTCGAAAGCAGATATGCGATGTAGGAATTCTACTGATGCATATTAATGACTTACCAGTACTAAACGTGCAGACGCTCCATATTCTCGGGCTCACTTTTTCCAACAAATATCGTTGGAAAATAAGATGAATTTTACACAGTACATTGCTTGGAAAAACCATGCGTACATTAACACTATTGGTTATCTTACCAAAATGCTTGTTTTAAGCAAGATTGACTTTGCTTTGATAATTTGTGGCAATAGCTGCAAATTTAATGTCAACATCCTTCAACCTGTCTACGACCAAGCCCTCAGAGCAAGTTGCTGTGCTTTATATGCAACAAATGTTGAGACAATCAATATCCAAACCCTTTCGAGAATTCGCCTTGATTATACAATTGCAACTCACCAATGGATCTTAAAGAAGTCCTACTCCACAATCTGCAATTGTGGATAAATTCTCACTATAAAACACATTCTCTGTGACTGCCTTAACTTTACCTAGGCTGTAAGTATTGCATTTAGAACGATTAACCCTAGGGACATTCTAAAATCATCTACAGAACAGAATATCAATATAATATATCATTTTATTAAAACTATTAGGGTCAATATTTAATGTACTTTTATAAATTAGAGAAGACCGTCTGTATTGCTAGTGGTCAATATCTTTTTTTTTAGTCTAAGATTATATAGCATTAGTCCAAAATTATAATAATAATAATAATATATTCGTTAATTTCGAAATGGGAATGATTTTCGAAATAAGTTTGTGATATACGAAAAATGTAATGTGATTAAAAAGTCCATTGGCATTCCCTGCATCGATTCGGAGACTGACAGAATCTAAGAGTGCCATCATAGTGATAGGAGTGTTTGTCATCTCAACTTGGTTTTTAACCGCATTTTCAATTTTTAACCGCATTTACAATTTTTCAATATATCAGCGTATTAGTAAGTAGATGTATTATTATTACCATTATTCATATTGACATTATGTGTAGCCGTGTGCTGACAATTTGTCTTGATAGAATGATTAATTATTATTATGATTATCTTGGGTTAATCTGCGTGGAATAGAGTTTTGAAACTTTTTTAAGAAGCTACTGGTCAATGCAACAATTTTCATAATTGAGCAGATGATTACAGTTAAAACAATTTGGAAGGCTATCGTCACTTTTACTGCAGGATTTAGTTAAGTAGTCCAATTCACTTCTAAAACGTTTGATTTGCTTTGTGTAATAAGGTCGTGGGTGTCTAAAATCTTGATAACGACAACAATGTGGGATGTCTATGGTCTTTAAACGGGCTTGAACTCCAACTACAGCACGATTGAAGTATTTCAAGTCGTAAATCTTCTTATCATCTTAACTGGATTTTAGATCTAAACAAAATCTTGATAGTAAATCTCTAATAACATAACAACACATGGAGGATACAACTCGAGCCTTGAGCCCCAGATGTTCAACACTAACTTTGATATTGAATTGGAATTGGAATATTATGTTGGAGGTTTTTTAACACTACCCTTTCTTCTCTTTCCTGTATTAATTTGATAGATGTGAAATTGAACACGAATAGTTGACTAACTTTCTATATGAATCTATGGATTTTGTCAATATTTTAATTCGACCGTCTTTCATTATTTTATAATTAAACGCAGTAGTAGCGATCACATTTGAAAAATCTACCATCATTCCTATTTAATTTATACATCAATAATTTGCCCTCCATGATTAAATTCAATGAGATTTTAATGTATGCTGATGATGTGAAACTGTTTTCTTCTTTTTCCGTAGAATCGCAATCACATCATCTTCAAAGTGATTTGAACAATTTGGTTGCATGGTGCTCTCTCAATCTTCTGAAACTAAATCTAAATAAATGTAAGAAGCTTTCTTTCTTAAGAAGGAAGTCGTTCAGTACTCAACACTTCTTCGATTCGTACAGGTTGGAAGACGTCGATTCGTTCATAGATTTAGGCGTTCTATTCGATTATAGGTTACGTTTCAATTTGCATATTGAGTCCTCGTTAAGCAAAACTAGGTCCGCGCTTGGATTTATAAAGAGCTTGATGATCCTTATATTACGAAAAGGCTTTACACGTGTTTGGTTAGACCTATACTTGAGTATGCCTCTGTTGTGTGGTCTCCTTCATATAGGTGCTACGTAGATTGAATCTATCAATTGAATCTATACAAAAGCAATTCTTGCTGTTTGCCCTTAGGAATTTGTGTTGGGACCCGATTTCCCCTCTTCCACCCTATGACAATAGGTTGCTTCTGTTATCCTTACCGTCACTCGAGAAACGTAGATTTGTTCTTAGGGTTTCCTTCTTAATCAAATTAATAAATGGTGCAATTGACTCGCCCGCATTACTTCGTGAGATAGGCTTTAATGTCCCTAACCGCTTCTCTAGGCACTTTATGTTGATAAAGCTTAGTCAATGCAAATATAATTTTGAACTGTTTAACCCTCTCAGAGTTGTTTGCAAGAACCTAAATGACGTCTATTATTTATTCTCATTAACGGACTCTCTAAAGTCCATTAAAGCAACATTGCGTAATACGCGCGATTTACCTATGTCGTTCTTAAACTGACATAACCTTAAATATGTCATTAAGGGTCGAAAATTAATTTGTTGTTAACAATTATCGGTTGCCAAGCTTATGCATGTTTGCGATGGCTTAGGGGTTCACTTGCAATTTGGTCCTGTATCAGTTGTGGGTGTGGCTCTATGCTAGTTGTGTACATGCTTTTTTTTTTTCTTTTTTTCCTCCTTATTTGTTTTATTGTACTTATACTAAGTTTTATTATTAATTAATTTTAAGATTTACTTAAGAGTCAATTGAACTCGACTGCCATTTTGTTCTAGTTGAGTTTCTAGTATAAGTGGAATAAATAAATAAATAAATAAATATCACGTACGCAAGGAATTACAATTTGTGGCGACTTTGGGATTATTATCATTACTATCAACAAGACTATTTTCATCAGAGCTGAAGGCCGAATAGCGATTTGTAGAATTTATGTCGATAACTCTTGAATAAATAGAGCCTGCTGTTGCGTTGTCGCGCATACTTTGCGAAGATTGTGCAGATCGTTTGTTATTATTACAACTAAATTTATTTTGCTTACGTTTCTTCAGACGTGACGTCGTTGAAATTTCTAATTTAGTAACTTGACTTATATGCAGAATTTTTAAACGTTAGTTCTATTGTGTCTACGATATAACGCTATCAATCGATTGCAACGTAGTCTAATAAAGTTTATGCATCGTTTTTGTTTTTTGCTGATACAATTTTATTTTATATTAACATCAGCGAGCAAAAAGTTATCATTACACATTGATAAGATAAGAATTGGACGTAATCCGCAACTATTTAGTAGTTTGTTTGGTTTGCTTGGTTTATTTCTGTAATAAACATGGCATTTTTACAAAATGTTAACATTTGCATTACAATCTTATTCTTCATCATTAATAATTTGCAAGTAATAAAATAAATTTTTGGAAGCGCTCTTCCAGTACGGTGTAACCATCGCTTCTATTCTAATTCAGCCGACCCAAAAATAATTCCATTTATTATTTTTTTTCTTCTTTTTAAATGTGGAAGATATAACTGAGCTATCGATGTGTTGTGTTGTCGATATCAAACATAGTTATCTATCATTCTTTTTAGAAATAGCGCCCTCTAAAGAGGAACTTAATTTATATGCCTTTGCTTCATATTTAATTGCCTTCATAATGGCTGCTTATAAGGCCTACGATAAAATTGCAGAATATTATCTTGAAGGTATTTAGGCTAAATATAATTATCAAAAATTGTCTACTTTTATATTTTTAGAGAGACGTAAGATGCATGGCGCGAAAAGAGTTCTTGTATTTTGTATACTTATCGTTATATTACCCGCTAGTCTAATTATCATTCCATTGTATCTGCGACGTATTGTGTTTGCGGACGTCACTTACCCCGTGGCTGAATCAGATATCATTGAAATACGTGACGGCATTAGCTCTATATTTTGCGAGCAGCATTCGTTGCGCATGAATTCCAATTTTAATGCTTTTCAGTTGAGCAGTAAACCCGAAATATCGACAAATCGTAAGCATATTAGACTTAAGAAATCCATGACTTTGCCCGACGACACATTGGAATATTGGGGCTTTTATTTGTTAAAAGGTGCGTTAGTGCATTTAAAATTCTGTTCGCGTTATGATGGCTCGCGCATACTAGTGGTAAACGGACAACGTGAACTGCAAACGTGCGGTTTATTGGATCACAATAAAAACAAAGTGGATGCCAACTTTGCGCGGGGCCATGATCAAGTGAAGGTATTCTTTGAGGATATAACTGAAATCGCAGAAAATGTACCGCTTGAAAATTTTGCAAAACGCATCCAAACTGAAGCAACTACGTTCACAAATTCGATCGATGATTCAATGGAATTGGAAAATAAGGCAGACGAGGACTTAAATGAGGAAAATGTAATCCAATTTAAAACAAAATGGGAAAAAAACTCTTTGAATTCGAGTAGACATCAGAAGATAGAAGCCGCGGAGGAAGAAAGAGCAAGCAATATAAAAGAACTTAGTAATGGGCGCTCTAAAGAAAACGCTAAAGTATCGATTAGTGACAATGAAGACAAATTTTATGAATATGAACGTCGTAAAAAACAACTATACGAGCAGTTATATAAGCGTCGTGTACGACGGGATCACGTATACGATCGCAAATATAGCCATGGAGGGAACGCAATTAATTTTACTGAAACCGACGAATCCAATTCAATATCCAGTTTCGAAACCGGTCTTTTTGAATGCTTTAATGGGGCCATTTTATTAGCCGAAGGTTTTCCACCTACAGCAGAATGTACAAATGCCCATTTCTTGGAAAATGGTTCACATCGTATGCTGTCCAAACACGAAATTAATGAAGATGGGTATTATTATTACATTTTCTACAGTGACAATGACTTAGTACGCAATGATATACATGCTATATTCGATATCTATAAACCGACATTTCAATATTCGAATATTAGCGATTCCCTACATTCACGTTGCGTTAATGCTACAAACTGCACTTTTCTTATTAGTTTTTTGTCTGATGAGGTTGTGGTCGTTGAAGTGCCTACACGTGACGGCATCGAACACGAAGATGATGACATCACCTACTTGATCTCAACTTGTCATCCTCGCCCGGAAATATACGCTATATTTCCCATTTTAGTTTTATTATTAATACTAAGCTGTTCCTTTTTGTAATTTGTAATATAATGTGAAATTGCATATAAGTAGGAGTGCCACTGTTAACTTTTACAAGTAATTGACTTGTTTTGCCATAAATTTAGTTTTAAGTAGCAGATCAACGTTCGCCTGAATGCACCAATGTATATGACATTAAGGTGTATGTATTTGTTATTCAACTGTAGTTTATATTTCAGTGTGAAGTACGAAGATTATTTTTTAGTATAACGACAAGCCTACAAGACAAGAAAAATTGCATTTTTTGAAAAAATACATGTGCATTAAAAGTATACTAAAGAAAATGTTGTTGCATTACTTTAACTATATAAATACTTTCCAACACAATTCACAGCTAGAACTGTTGTATCCATTTTTTTTATATCAAAAGAAATTTAAATAAAAAGAGAAAATATTATTATTACATTACAGTATTATTATTTATTAAATACACCCTCAACGAAGCGACGCGGCTAAACTCATCTCATTATGATTCAGCAACTAGACGATGAAATTGAACAAACTGCGGGTGCCAAAACTAATCACCTTCTCTACGAAATAGCTCCTATATTTAAGTTTAAGCTGTTATCAGAAACGGCCTTTAATTCACTCCTTTCTTCTTCTTCCTTCAATGCACTCCCAAAAATGCCCGTGATAGCAGCAATGTCAATGGCGTCTGTATTTGTTTATAATTGACAATAATTCAAAGAGTCAGTCTGAATTTGTTAACATCTGTTGCATTGAAAAAACGATTATAAATTTCACACCACCTGAGAAGGATATTGTTACCAAAAGTGGATATAAAGTCCTGAGAAGGATAAAGAAGGATCGCTAAATTTTCGGGCCGAAACTTGCCAGTGTATCAACTTTTATCAAAAATTAAGATCTGCAGATCAACATAGGACAATTAGACAGACAGAGAAGCGAAAATCGATTTACAGTGATTCTCAATCGGTTTGTATTAAAAAAGTTGGGTCCATCCTAAGTCCTTCCGGATGTTGCATACATTCGGATTAGATTAATGTAACCTTGTACCACTCTTGTACCTTGGAGCAAGATATAAAAAAAAAACTAATGGCTATGTAAGTGAAATTTTTATAAAAATGTAAACAAATTGAACTCTTATTCTCAAATTTTTCGAATTATTGAGAATATATACGCTTATTCTCGTATGTGGCCAAATTTTTATACGCTTATTCTCACATTTTTCGCTCATTCTCGTATGTGGCCAAATTTTTATACGCTCATTCTCACATTTTTCGCTTATTCTCGAATGTGGCCAAATTTTTATACAAATTATATTAAATAATTTGAACTATGTTTCAAGATTAGCATTAGATTAACTAATATTAAAATTTATTCATTTCAATTTCATTTAAGCTTGTAATAGCTTTAGCATCTCACAAAATTCCGGTCCACAAGTTATTATATTTTCTTCTATTAAATCGTCGTGATTCTGTAGTGAATGCATTTTTTCTCATTGATTTTTTTTTTTTAATACCACTCAGAAACGAAACAGGATGATAAGAGCAATAGTCTTATGGCAAACTATTGTGATACATAAGGTGTTTGCGAAAATGTTGATCAATGATCTGTAAGAAGTAAGGGTTAAAATCGATGGTTACTCAAGAGGCTACTGGTTTTCAAATACACGAAGTACTGCAGGCTTTCAACCGTGACGCTGTTAGCAAGTTAATTAGATTGTAACTGTGTGAGTACATAATGATGAAATCTGGAGAATAAGCGTTCACATTTGTTTACCATTTTTAATAATTGTTCAAGTATTTATATAAAAATTGTCTACGTCTGAGAATAAGCGTCCACATTTGTTTACAATTAGCTATCGTTGCCAATATTCACTATAAACATGAAATGAATGATGTGCTTTATAAATGCCAAAATTCACTATAAACATGAAATGAATGATGTGCTTTATAAATGCTGGTTTTACGCTCCGAAGAATCTTTTGTAATGGTGTTGACCTTCCTCTACAAGAAATAAGAGTTTTCCATGTAATCTTATGCAGTTATTCATCGGAAGCCGACCATGGAGCAATAAAAGAAAGCGGTTTTCCACACCGCGTACCCATATTTGCGATAAGGTATACATAAAAATGATATTAAATATTAAATGGTATTTGTGATCTTCTTAAAAGCTAGCGAAGTGGCTGCATATTCAAATGGCATAAATTTGATAACATTGTCGCTACTTTTTATTCAAATTTATCTCTAAAATAAACCAATTTCACCCAAAGTTTTCAGCCTTATTCAATATCACTATATACACCTTCCATATACTCTTAAAGAGTTAATGAAAAGTTTTAAGCCGTCTTAAAACGAAGTATTTGCTAATATAAATCTGTTGCTCGATAGTTTGACATATATAAATCTTAATGTATTTGCTGAACAACATGTTTTTACCATTATTGGTGACCAAATCAAGGATCGCCTCTTAAAGCTAATTGTTGATGAAATATTTATTGGATTCTTTACAAGCGACTATGGATGAATATCATAAATCGACACTAGTGCAGGATGTCTTAAGATTCGAGCAAACATTGGTGGATAATTTCTTTATTCATCCCGAAATAGATTGCACACTAACTAACTTTACAAAAAAATTCGAGCAATTATTTCGTAATAGATTAAACAAGAAAGTGTTAGAAACTACCAGAGAAATAATGCATAAGAATTTACAAGACATGACCATCGTAGCACCGTCTTATGTATCAAAAGCAAGTTGAACATATCTAAGCGTTTTTCACCCTCTGCACATCTATCCAACAACGCCTGAGGTGGCCTTGCAGTAAGACAACGCTCTTTGTGAGCCTAAAAAGTAACGCACGCACAGAATATAGAAAAGTAATCAGAATTTCTAAGAAGCATTCCAACGGCATTTCGAAAGTCTCTCTGAATGTTGATGACAAAAGAGCAATGGAGGATGCAAATTAGCTGATAATTTAGTGTGGTCTTCGCTCTCATAATTATTTAAAGTTGGTTTCCTATTTCCGCTATGAATACTATGTTTATTTGCCGCGTCCACTTCAATTGGATTGAGTGGCAGACGTACTTCAATGCTATTATTGTGCTTCTGTTTTTTCATGCCGCCATCGGCCATACTTGACTTTATAGCTTGAGGATCTAAATTTTCTTTGTTTTCCAAAATCATTTGTTCCATCGAGCTAAGATTTCCTACACCATGAAATTGTTCCATACATTTAGCATCGGTTAAATGTTGGTTTCTTTACTCCTTCCATTCGTTGATACCGAAATCACCTGTAATATAGAAATAAAAAAGTTAGCAAGTTGAAGATGTAGAACAACAGGAGAGTTAGGGCACGGAATCTCTACAAAATTATTCTAATAACGATTAAAATTAAAAAGGTGCCTTTTACTTAAAAAATTACGATATATAAAATAATAGATTGGGGAAAAAGAAATCCATTATTTTTTCGGTAGATGGCTGCCTGATGGATTTCTCGTAAAGTATCGATCAAACAATTTCATATTTATGCTCGTTGGAAAGGTGACATTTCGCAGTAAAACAAATTCTTGTGCTGTTTTTTGTTTGGTGCATTCAGTTGTGAGTTACAGCGTGTTAAAAATGGAAGTGAACAAAGAGAAAATTCTGTACATTTTACAGTTTTTCTTTGACAAAGGCGGAAATGCAAGCCAAGCGGCTAAAATTGTAAATGGTGTTTATGGTTCCGATACTGTAACAGCCAATTATGTGCAATTTTGGTTTCGTAGATTCCGTTCAGGAGTTTTTGATGTTAAAGATGCACCTCTCACAGGTAGGCCGGTCGCCGAAAATGTCGATAAAATCGGAGAAATGATCGAAGTTGACCGGCATGTTAGCAGTCGTAACATCGCCCAGGAGCTAAAAATCGACCATAAAACAGTTTTAAACCATTTACACAAAGCTGGATTCAAAAAGAAGCTCGATGTTTGGGTGGCACACCAATTAACAGAAAAAAACATGATGGATCAAATTTCCATGTGCGAAGCCTTGGCCAAATGAATGGGAATGAGATAGATCCATTTCTTAAACGGATGGTGACTGGAGATGAAAAATGGATCACATACGATAACCCTGTGCGAAAACGATTGTGGTCAAAGAGCGGTGAAGCACCTCAAACGGCTAGGAAGGTTTTGCTATGCATTTGGTGGGACTGGAAGGGGATTATTTATTAGGAGTTGCTTCCATATGGCCAAACGCTAAATTCTGATCTCTACTGTCAACAACTGGACCGTTTGAAGATAGCGATTGACCAGAAACGGCCAGAATTGGCCAACAGGAGAGGTGTCGTGTTCCACCAGGACAACGCTAGGCCACACACATCTACAGTGACTCGCCAGAAACTTCGGGAGCTTGGTTGGGAAGTTTTAATGCATCCGCCATACAGTCCGGACTTGGCATCAAGCGATTATCATCTTTTTCTTGCATTGCAAAATTTCTTTAATGATAAAAAATTGGAATCTAGGGAGGATTGTGAAAATCGACTACTAGTGTTTTTTGCAAATAGAGACCAAAACTTCTACGAGAGAGGCATTTTGAAGTTACCTTTAAAATGGCAACAACTCATACAACAAAACGGTGCATATTTGACCCAAATCGGACAATCCGAAGCATGTTAAATAAAGTCCTGAAGTTCATATAAAAATAATGGATTTCTTTTTCCCCAAACTAATATAAATAAGAGGATATACATTACAATTCAAATTTCAATTTCACAATTTGAAGTTTTTCCAAGTTATGAAATTATAATATTATATGAATTATATGAAGTTATTTCACTTCATTTCATTTTATCAAAAACGTTACATCATCTTGTTTTGTTTATGCTGGTGTGATTATTTCATTGGTACTGTATAGAAACAAACAAAATTGGCCTGTTATTTTGTCATTACTTTTTCGAAATAAATTTCGAACTGTATAAGCCATTCATAATAAGTTATAAAACCAAAGTACTTCTTTGAAATGAGAGCTAGTTAATTAAAGGTATCAGCGCCCAATTGACCGGATAATTAGTTTACGTTTCTAAAGCAAATTGATATGTTCAGCGGACGCTTACATAAGTGTTACTGAACATAGCAGATTTCCAGAATTAGAACTTAACTTCCTACAATCATTTGCTAATTTTCCATAGAAGTTATATGAGTTTCTGTTCATTTTCATAGAACTTAGATGAGCTTTGTGTTGTGAGAGTAGTTGTGCTCTATTTCATGTGCATCTCAAGTCATTTTCCGTTAGTTGAAGCCTAAAATTATGCTGTAACTTTTGGTCTGCAAGGTTGAAAGTGGTAAGCATCATAATAATAATTTTTGGCGGAGCTAAAA